GTTGTTGTCCCCCCCCCCCCCGTTTATCACTATGGCAACAAATGCCAGCAGCCTCACTCCGTTATCTGCAAAATCACTGTCTCTTTGTTTTGGCTGCAGACTGAGAAGATAGTTGTGTGTCTGAGGAGCACTGACGGCAAACGCGCTGATTAAATGCGGACACTGTCGTTGTCCAGAGGCTCCATTGAAAGCCAATTAGGAGAAAGAATCGTGGCAGCTGGTTGCCGGCATGTGGCCGCGCGTGTAAATTCAAATGAGGCCAAGTCAGTGTCACACATGTCTTAGAGGTGATTAAAAGTGACTCTCGAGGAGCTGGCAGATGAGATTCCACGGCGAATGGTACAAACAGGTACATATTGTGGGGGGTTTGTTCGATTTTTTTGCATCCAAGCATGTCGTGTTTGTTAAAATAAAAGTTTCCTTCGTGTCAAAGTAACATTTATGATTTTTAGCGTGACTGATATGGCAGGGAAAATCTGCTTTTTTTTTTTAAATAAACGACCGCCGAGTCCAGGTGAAACAGAGCAGAGAAATTAACACTACATTAAAAAACACTGTTGGGCTGAGATCAGGTTACTAGCTAAATGTTCAAGTTCTTTGCCTTGAAATATCTTTATTCTGAGCCGCTTTCCCGAGCTTTTATGACTGAAAACATTCTCATTCTTGCCTTCGCTCCTTTGGCGACTCCTGATGTGGTATGCTTTGGATCGTACATTGCTCCTTTCCTTCCTTCTTCCCGAGTTTAGCGTCCACAACCTCGAGACTCTCCATCTGTGCGGCTGCTCGAGAAGAAAGTGACATTTTATTGTCGACGTCATCTGCCGAGGTCAAAGCAGACGCAGCGGGAGGCGGGGCAGGCGTTGTTTCCATTGCGGGTTGTCCTTTTGAATCACATCATGCCGCATCAAGGGGAAGGTTTATTTATATCAAGGATGACCATCCGTAGGAGGATACGGTCTTAAAAAATACAGCTGTCGGCTCTTACGTGACCCATTCCAGCAGTCAGGATCATGACTGACTGGCTCTTAGACAGCATTGAGGTAAACTCTCAGTCCGACACTCCTAAAAATAACTTGACTTAACTTCATGAATAATGATGAGCTCGTGTTGCATCTAAACACACAGCAAACGCAGCTTGATTTGAATAATTTGCCTTGTAATGAATCATGCAAACAGTAGATGAGCTATTTGAGGAACTGCGTGCGGTCCAAAATAATTCATATCCTGGTATTCTTAGGACTTAAAGTGCCTTTTTTTTTAAATCAGTTGGTGGTTATGTCATGAAGGTATGTTGGAAATATTGATGCAAAATATGATATTTTCATGAAAACAGTGAATATCGCTGAACACAAAGTAAACGCAACCTTTTATGCCAGAAACTTTGAGCAGAATTCTGTTTGCCATGTCAGGGAAAACATCAAGTACACTTGTGCAAAAACGACAACTACCTTGTCAGTTCTACTGCTCGAGAGGCTGCATTTAAGTGGCATCACAAAATGTCACCCGGGCCTCATTTGCATAAGTCACACTGCAAATACCGATGGCAGCGTTTGTCTTTCCCCAGGTGGATGAATGTCACAATCCGAGTGTGTCGTCGTTGTCGGTTATTCAGCTGGAGTTACGTGCCACTCCTTAGCTACTTGGGCCGTTCTGGTGATGCTCTTGCCAAGGCGTTCAGCGATGCGCTTTGCAAACTCCGCCTTCGTCTGGCTTGTTGGGGATGCGGTTGCCCGGCAACGTGCGCCGTTTGCTCCCGTGACTCCCCCACATTGTTATTGTTGTCAATATTTGAGGAGCAGCTGCTCGGCTCCGTCTCCGAGGTTCCCGGTGCTCTTTAATACAGTCACGGCGCTTTAGTTGGTCAGAGGCGTATTGGGTTTTTTTTTTTCTTGGTTTTGCCAATGAAGTCTTCAACGCATGGCCTATTTTCCACCATCAAGTTGGTGTCCCAGATTCAAAGTCTCCTCCGATGAATAAAAATGTCAACGGAAAGAGAATATAATCATCTTCTGTGTCGAGGGTGGGGGATGTGCATGCAGGCGACGGTTCGTCAGTCGGGGGCAGCAAGACTCCTAATAAGTGGCTGACAGGACCGTGTGGACAATTTCTGACCCGCGGCACCATATTTGTTGTCGTGGGTCTGTCGGCTACTTCCTGCTTCACGGAGGATGATCTAGTTCGGGATTGCAGCATTTGTATCGTTTTCAATCAGGGCCAGCGGCAGGTCGCCTACAACTCGGACTGATATTTCTCCAAATTGGCATCCTAAAATTTTGCCCATATCACACAGCATGTTCTGAACGTTCCTGACAAAATATTGATTCCGAGCAGAGTTGCGAAGGTCTGCGAAGGAGCAGGACCCAACGTGCCGCATTTGTCAAGCGGGAGTGAGCTCACGCGGGCTCACATCAAAGGCATCCAAGCGGCCGGCCAGGCCCGATTGAAGTCGAGTTAATAATTCAGAGTTATTGGAAGGCGCTGGTGCGAGCTAGCGGGAGTCCGCGCGTGTGCTGGTGACAGCTGGCCCAGCCTGCGTCGACTGTTCAGGGCCAGTATTTCCCAAGAGACATTGGTCCCTCGTTCTACACTGTGCGGGATCTCTTTGTCCTAATTTGTTGATTGCGTCTACAGAGCTCGCGGAGAACTGGACGGACACCAAAGAGACTTTGCTGGAGGGCATGGCGTTCAACGTGAAGTACCTGGGAATGACGATGGTGGGCCAGCCCAAAGGGGAGGACATGGCCGCCGCCGCCATCCGCAGGATTGTTACCATGGTGCGTGAGAAAGAGCCTTTGATGGCCAAACATCATTGCTTTGCAATTACGCCACGAGGAAAGTCGTTGGCTCGAGATCAATGTTTTATACGTGATGTTCGCCATTTACTCCATGGACTGCATTACATTTCCTAATGATTAGCGATGCACGATATGAGAAATTTCCGCCGATGACCGGTCATTTCCTGAGCGATGTTTGTGACAGTAAATGGTTGCATTGCATTTGACAGCAAGTGAGTGTGTTGGCCATTTTCCCATTATTGTGCACCACTTCACTGAACCACATCGCTGCCACCACAAGTTGAGGTGGTGGAGCCTCATCTGGTAGACTCCCCCCTATGGATCCTGATCCCCCACCCCGCTCACTACACGCACACACACACACACACACACGCGCATCCGTGTGAGAGTACACCTAACACTCAGATTAAGTTGGAATTGATTTATAGCAGCAAGTCCACACTTGTCTCCATCTGTTCCCTTGGAAACACACAAAAAAAAGAGAGAAAAAAATGTGCTCGTCAGATGTGATAAGACCATCCTATTGTTTCTTATCCCGCCTGAAAATGCGCCCGTTAGCACTTACCACATGCATGATTGTGCTTATTGAAACGCGAGCTTTGCAGTTTTCATTCATTTCATTGGAATCTCCAGGGGGGCTTCAGTGTCCTTGGAAAGACCTTCCTGCTTCTACCGGTGGTCTTTGATTCACCTTTTAAAGCCATTCACATCCTAGATCCATCGTCTGTGGGTGTTACGGGAGGGGAAAAAAACAAAACGAAGTAAAAAAAATGCTGGCATTAGCGGTGAACGAATGGCGTCGCAAGCAGGTCAACAGTCGCCCTCCCAGACTGCTGGCTCAGCACTACGGACAAATCAAGAGCCCAGATGGAGTACCCGAGGCGAGCCGGGGGGGCTGCGTCCCAAGCCCCCGTCCAATCACTAATTCAGGGTTGCAAATGACACGTCCCCCCCCCCGACCTCTCCCTCCTTTGCTCTCACTTGTCAGTGTTGATAAATTCACACATGGTGCAGTTTTGGCGCTTTGGTGGCAGTCTTCTGACTGAGATTTTCTTTCTTTTTGGGAATCCTCAGGCCAGAGCCGGCGCTAAGAAGTTCCGCAAAGTCACGTTGACGGTCTCGCCGAAAGGTATCGTCATTACGGACACGGACACGGCGGACCTGGTTGAAAACGTCTCCATCTACAGGTGATTGCTGTTTGTAAATAATCAATGACAATGGTGCCTTGAGGTACATGTTGAAACACGAAGTTATCCGATTGAAAGGAAAGCAAGTGCGATTGATCTGTTCCAGCCTCCCCCAAAACATTTTAAAAAATAACAACAAAAGGAGCCAGTGTGCGGAATACAAATGCAGCCTCGGCAAATAATTCCATCCATTCATCCATTTTCTGATTGGCTTTATCCTCATGAGGGTCGCGTGTGTGCTGGGGCCCATTCCAGCTGTCTTCGGGCGTACAGATGGGGGGGGGGGGCGTATGTATGTTGATGGATGTTAACCAGGCCGTTCTCCATCTCAACGTGCAACAAAGGCCGTGGCTCTTTATAGTAAGTTAGTGCCGAGGTGTCCTGGGCTTTGCTATGTGGGTCAATCGTCGTCAGTGGTGCAAGCGAAGCGCAGCCGAGAAGGCTGCTTCATGCAAATTTGCCTGATTTGTTTGGGCCTCGGCACAATACTGCGCATGATTAGGAAAAGAAATATGAGCGTCGGATTCTTTGAAGTCAGGCTGTAAATGAGCAGCGGCTCCACCGCCAACATGCTGACACGGTGCCTTGTGGGGATTGAACGCACACGAGTGCAGTCCACTCATGAAGTGATTATCCAAATGATATGCCTCTTTTTTTTTCTTTTTTTTTTTTTTTGCCATCATGAGACTACGAGCAGATAGATGCAGGCGTGTTTAAAAATAGACAACATATATATTTTTTCCCCCCTCGTTTCTGTCCAGAATCTCCTACTGCACAGCAGATAAAAGCCAGGACAAGGTGTTTGCATACGTGTCTCAGAGTGCCTTCAACGAGACGCTGGAGTGTCACGCCTTCCTCTGTCAAAAGAAGAAGATTGTAGGTTTGATGGGGGGGGGGGGTTACAAAACACTACAACAGGTACATACAGTGGTGCTGTCAAGTTGACATTCACCTAAAGGGCGTGGCAACTTCAGCGCTTTGGCTCCACATCACTTTTACACTCCACGCCCACAATACGTATTAAGTCGACCTGCAAATGGCGACGATGCTTGAATAAGAACACATTTTACACATTATCTCTTTGCACACATACGTATTTATTTATCCAACTTAAAATATTGATCATGCAACTGAATGCAATGGATGAATATCTATTTTTATTTTTGTGCAGGCTCAAGCTGTGACGCTGACAGTCGCACAGGCCTTCAAAGTAGCTCTGGATCTTTGGGAGATTGCGCAACAAGGTCATTTGAACGTTGACAAAATGAACCGTAATAATAAAACCATCGTCTTCACATTTAGATGTTTTTTTTTTTGGGGGGGGGGGGTCCTTCTCTTTGTAGATAAAAGCAGCAAGGCAAGAAACGCAAGTTGTTCCTGCGCAGCCGGCGGCAATGGACGCACGGCAGCAACAGACGCTCACTGTCTTCCTGCAGGTAAGATGATGGAAAGAAACAATTAGGACCCATGCTCATTATTTTTCTCAGTCTGATAACTAATTTGCATATTTTTCAGACGATAAGTCTCATGGTTTTTCAGAGCTTGGCTCATCCCGTCACTTATACGCAAGTGTGACTTGTATATATTCAAAAGTAGAGCTCGGAGTCACACCCCAAATCCTTATTCCCTCATCGGAATAAATCATTGTTCATTATCTTTTGGGTTACATTATATGTTGGGGAAGATGGCCGAAAATCAACCAGTTTCTCGTAAGTCCAGGTCCACCCATGATCTTTTTCAACCCATGCATCTGCATCTTCAGGCGGCCCGAATGCGTGCGCGTCCGCCGGCGTGGACAAGAAGCCGTGTCGGCCGTTCCTGTCCACGTCCATCAGCTCGCCGTCGCCTTGCAGCAACCCCGCTCGGTGGCGACCCATCAGACACGACTCCTGGGTAGGTTGGCGCACTTCAAACGACAACATTTTTTTACGTCAGAAACTTGGGCGAATTACAGATACCTAAAAACCGCACTTGAGTCCAGAAAGAAAGTTGCTTGACTTCCCACCGCTGTATGAGGTGCATCGACCGAGGCTGAATGTTTACACCCTCGCGTGGCAATTAATTAGACTGAAATACTGTCTGAAGCCAATGCTATTAATAATGCTGACTTTGGATTGTGGTAATCATGCGATCATTTTGCGAATGAAATGAATGCGGGGCGTACCTTATGCAGTGAAAAGATGCAACTACGAGTGTTCCTCGCTAGATGGCGCCACAGTCACAAGTGTCATGGCGCCAGAATGACACAACAGGATTGATTCTTAGGAAAGCTTTTTATTATGCCACTGCTAATTAATGAGACAGCATTTCATTTATTTAAAACGGTTTGTATATTTGTGTGTGACAAGTTCGAGGAGATGAACGTCAGAAGCATGGAATAATGCAAGCATATATGGATTTACTTCCTGTTTTCTTTGTCTCCAGGACGCGGACGACGGCGTGGAGGACCATCTGTCAAGGTAACATTCAATCAGTGGCGCAGCATATTTTTCATTTTGGGTGGAAATTGAAATGAGTTCTTTGGTAGACGAAAATTTAGGACCACTGGGATTCAACTTTTGTGTGCGCGTTTGTGGACCCGCATAATGGGGCTGTTCGCTTTGTCTTGTTTCCGTTGCAAGCAGCAGCATGGACGTAGACGACAAGTGTCGTGGTAAGTCTCCCTGATGGATGAAAAGTGTGGAGACTTGGCGCATGTTGGAGCTGCATTCCTAAAGTCGATTTTACTTTGCAGTCAACTCTAGCATGTGCCCGCTCCGCGATGTTGTGTGTGACCCAGTTGTAGGCCTCCCTTGGTTCTTTCCCTTTCCCTGCATTTCTCCACAGTGGTTCTTTTGATTTATCTTGACTGTCATTGTCATCATCATTTGAGATCTGTGACGTAGCATTTGATTGTTTCCGTCAGAATGGTCAAGCCCGGCTCCTGATCCGTCTTTGACGATGCAGCTTTGAGTCGCCAAGTCGTCGTCGGACCGCAACGACTTGCTGGCAGCGCCAAAAGAGATCAAAAGGACCGCTCGAGCGCAGTGTGGCTCAACTCCAGTGAGCGGCGACACCTCCCGTGTCGTCCCACAATTTTGAGGGCAACCGCAATGAAGACAACGACATTTTAGCGCCACGAGGACGACCACCCCGAGTCCTTCACACTAAGCCTGTTCCCTTTTCCTGCGATCATAACAAAGATGGCAACGCTGGACACGTTCCACCCAAAAAAAAAAAAAAAACTTGGGAGTTCTTGTCCACGTTGGGGCTTGAACTACTCCGCAGTCATCTCAAATCTTGAAATCAACTACTTGCTTATCGCGTGTTTGCAGCATCCCGTGGAAGACTTTCATTTCAGGCAACTGCTGCCGTGGTCGGACTCTTGCACTGCACGGGGCCGAGAATCCAGACAGGAACCGGTTGTGGAGAAGAATGGTCGTTAGCCTTACTAGCTCGGGGCTGTTCCGATTTCACACACGGGACTGGCGGAGCGAAGCGCAGCGCAGTCAAGCTGGATCTTCATTCGGACGCCCGCCGAGTCTTAATTTGTGGGAGGAAACCAGGAGTGGCCGTGAAAGTCGTCGGTGTCGGGTGTGCCTAATAAAGTGGCCGCTCGCTGTACCACTTCCTCCTTTTCTTTGCCGTCACACTTCGATGATGTTGATGGACGGCATGGATGGGTGAAGCTGTAACACAAGCTCACATGGAACTCCAAAACACAATGCAAAATAAACTGACCAAGTCAAGGGTTGTAACTTGAAAATCGTTTACATTTTTTTGTAAGTTGCTCATGTAGATAGATGTTTATATATATATTTTTAAAATAGAGCGCTTTTACCTTGGTCCTAAGCAGCCCTCCGCTGTGGCGATCTGGCGTGCTCCTCTCCGACAACGGCTTGACCTTCTCCTTATTGTTGCTGGAGTCATTGTCCTTGATGATGTCATACTGGCGGCAGAACAGGGCGATGACGGCTGCACGGAAAGGAGGAAGGACCACGTTGGGTATTGTCGCTCGCAAGCGCCGCATAACAAAATAGCGACGAACCGCAGCCCCAAAATGTCTCGAGAGGGGCTCGAGTCCCCACATCCCTGAGCTCGGTCATCATGACAGCGAATGGAGAAATAGGAACAAGTGGACAGACAGCCTTATCGCGTACGGTGAAGGTTTGCGTGCCCCCTGGGTTCCAGCTTAAGAATGCGCGCTATTTCCCGTCACTGCTCTGTGGATGACGGATCAGATGTGTCGTATGTTCTCTCGGGCAAAATGGAGGCTTTCTCCTTCAGGCCGCTTTTGTCTTTACTGGTTCGATTGGCACTGAAGAAAAAGTTCCTCCATGTACAAAAAAAAAAACTTACCTGCCCACATAAGTAAGACCACCACTATAATGATGACCTCTCCTGTCTGCAGATGCCGCGACCTCTCCAAGCCCTGCACCGTTGGGTCATCTAGAGGGGGAGAGGGGGGTGGTGGCATAGATATGACGTATTACCGAGTGCTGTGCGCTGGCCATTATGCTCGTAAATATCCATGTTGCGGTACAGTGCGTGACTCTTGGCACTCATGGTTTGTTCGTTTTCATAGATGAGGGGCTTTTAAGTTCCCAGAAGAAGCGCTCATCATTTTGCGGCGGCGGGCGGGTCTCCTTTTGAACTTGCGCCGCCTTTGGGGAAGTTTGGTGAAACGGTTTGAGCTGACAAACGTGTTTGTGATTGATGACGCCATCCCCGCCGCCGCCGCCGCGGTACTTGCTCTCGTTTGGACGGCCAAACAGAACCGCAGCTGTCACGTGTCATCGTGCCATCAAAGGTCAAACTAGTAGCCAACCTTGCTCAGAAGTGTTGGAGGGAAAGCCGTCGCCCTTTCCCAGCGTGCGAAAGCGGACCTTCTCGCTGGCTTGGCTTTCGCCGTAGAGGCCGATGCACTGCACCTGCACGACGTAGTCCGTCTCCTCCTGCAGGTCCCACAGGGCGCAAGATCGGCTGGTGGTGTTGACCTCCCGGATGAAGCGCCGCGTGTGTCCGTCCCGCCTCTTCGGGAGTCGGAGGAGGAGAGGAATGAGCGGAAAAAACACCTCAATGGACCTCCGTCCTTCGGTGCGGTAGGAAATGCTCAACTCCGCTAAATTCATGACGTTACGGGAATTAGAAACCTTCCGAAACTGCGACGATAACCAAGGCGGAGCAGCGACGCATCCAGACGGGCCGTAAAAGGAATGTTTCCGGACTTACTTGCTGTGAGACCGAGAAGCCGATGATGATATCTCCCTCGGGGACCTCCCAGGAAACGGTCGCCGAGTCAGAGCGAAGGTGAATGACGGACACGTTGACGGGAGCTGGCGGACGATCTGATGAAGGATGACCAAGAGGGCGCACTTGTAAATTGTCTGGGCTGATTGACCGTCTCCAAACGGACTGTGGATTTGGAACTTTGGTGAGTTCTTCTCTTTGTTTGAATGAATTACAGTGAGTGGACTGAGATCACGTGAAACTAATTCAGATCTCGAAGTGCGAGCTTTAAATGGTCACTTGATATCGGGGTTTAAAGTTGGTCTTAGTATGAAGGTAGCTGCGCCGCGCTTCATCGGTCTGGCCTTTTGCTCAACTGGATCCAGGCCTCCTCTTTATCTCCAGAAGCATGTATCCTTGTACAGCTTTTGAATAGAAGATAAAGATTAGGCCGTAAACCTCAGCTTGAGGAAGACAAAAGCCAACAGGTAGAAAGTTGGACAGGTTTAGGCGATTTCGAGATCAGACGGTGCAAAGTCTGGACGTTCATTGAAACCAGGATGTCTTCTGTTGCGGCGACTTTGCATTGATCGTGCATATTGAAGCTCTTTAAGTGGAATTCATTGCTGTCCGCCGGCGGCACGAATGTGTCTCGCGGTGAGCTCTCCCATCTCTACCAGCGTTAAAAATAACGAGCCTGGAAAACACAGGCCTCATTTTGTCGAGGCGCTTGTGAAGACGAACCGCTTTGGCCGCGATGGCGCTTGTCGTTCGCCCTAAGCCAAGCCCCTCCCTCCCTGCCTCGTCTTGACAAATCGGACTATTTAAAGCCACCACCACGTAGCGCCTTTTGTTATATATATATTTTTAATCCGCCTCCCTTGATACCGTGTCACCGGGCAGCCATCTTATCAGCGGTTCGAAAAGGCCTGATTGCAAAGCGAGACAAAAGAGGAACAGATGGGCTGCTGGGTCCACACTAATAGAGGTGTGGGGGGGGGGGACATCACTCTGAGTGCACACCGACCTTCGACTTAAATGGAAAGAGAATGAGTCATCTGAAAATGTACAGTCATGGTCCCCTTGGGACAGCCCGAATTGCTTGCTTTCAGATTTATTTTGTTGTTGTCACGCCACAGTAATATCTTGTAATTGGATCTCGAGTCTGGAAATCACCTGAAAGTTGCTTCACTTCAAAGTGATTCATGCCTGAATTTCATCGTCAGTCTGGGCCAAACCACCATTGAAAAATTTGCATGACAAAATTATTCGCCGTTGATGGATGTAAGTAACCGTCAATGAAGAAAAAAAAACGAACTACATTTATTTTCCCCTGAGTTCAGTGAGGCGACCACACTCTGTGGCTTGAATGACGAATTTCCTGCACTCACTCTTATTGATCGAGTAAACGTCCATAAAGTTATTCCACATTGGCTCTTATATGACTACAACGCATTAATTTATTCAGTGGTTTGGCCTTGCAAGGTTTCACTGAGAAATACAGTGAAGAATAATGTTGAAGGGGAGCCAGCTGCTTCCCAAGCTTGGACATGATGAGCCATTGAGGAGTGCAGGTGCCAACCAAGGCATGCGAAGCCCCAAGAGTGAATGGAGGACTTTTCAGAGTAGTCCATTGCGTGTTGTGTTCTGGATTGGAGACTTCACTGACACTCTCCGAGTGAAATCAGAAAACAACCTCTGAGGAGTGGAAATTGCTACTTTATCTTTTTTTTTTTTTAATCATTTGTGCTGCAAATCTTGACCCGATCTTTAAATGACACATCTCGGGCATGTTGATTTTGACGTGGTGTGTACGATTTTTTTTTCATGTAGAGTATTCCTCTACCGATTAGAATCACTCAAGGTGAAAGGTGAATTCCTACCTTTTTCCTTCCCTTATTTAAAGACGTCTTCAATAAATCGAGAGAATTCGCTAAAAAGCTCTGTCCCTAACCATGTTTTCTGGGACTTAATATCACAAATGACCGTGGCCAAGCCAAATGGAGCATCATTATCCTCATTGTCAAGGAAGAACTCTGACATCATTTCTCGTTTGTGGATGACATGAGACGGGCGGGTGTACCTAATGAATTGTCCACGTTGACGTGCTCGCTCGTTTCACGAGTTCGGCCGAATGAATGGCGTACGCGGAGTCACTTACTTGCCGCCACCAGGAAGACGTCGCTCCCAAAGAGCAACAGGACCGCCGACTGGATCGCAACCAGCGGGCGGGCCATGGCTCTCCTCCTTCCCGCAGACGAAAGAAGCAGAACAGAAATCAAGAAAGAAGCTCTCAAGTCCTCCCCCTGCGGTCCATGTTGGGGATGCGAGAGCGGATCGGCGGATGCGGCGCCGATTACTCAGCCACGCTCAGCACGCGACGTTACGGAGTGGAAAAAACGACAGCGAGGGTGTGGAATATGTTGGTGAGGGGCTCGGGTGGGAATGCACGCAACCATCACCGGAGATCAGGTGAGCGAGACGGGCCAGGGTGGTGGTGGTCGGGGGGCGGTCACAGTGATTGGAGACTGGCCTCTGGAGCCAATCGAGAGCTTTGATTGACAGATGAACACGCTTGCGCGCCGCCCTTAATCCTGCCCCCCCTCCCCCACGCCTCCCTAGCCCAAATTCAAAACCCGATTGGAAAGTCGGCGACTGCAGTCGTCTTCGTCTCCTTTCCTTTCTTCTCACGCATCGCTCGCACCGTTTCTCCTTGGAGACATTCATTACAAAAAAAGACACAGAAATCTTTTGCTTCCGCATGAGACTTCATGAAAGTGAAACGTTGAACAAGCCTGACATCTACGGGCTGCTCAGAGAACTGCAGCGTCTTCGGAAATTGAAAGTAGCTATTGGCCGTCCTAAAAGTCGCTCAATTGCGTCATTGTCATTGTCCAATTTGCATAATTGACCAGGTGCATGCTGGAATGGACGCTCGAAGAGAGGAATAACTTCGCGGGAGAGACAAACGGTGAGTTAAAAAAAAAAACACCTAAATATGTTTAGAATTACAACTGAACTTTCTTCTGTCGATTATTGTTTTTTTTTTGTTGTTCCCCCCCATTCCACTCCTTTTTCTTTATTGGTTGGGCCCGGCAAAAGTGACCCAGTTGACACTCAGGCGGAGGCAGGTTAATTTTTTTGTTATCTTAAGTTTGGTTTGGTCACAATGAAACATGAACATTTTAAACTGTTTTTTAAATTTTTTTTTGCATACAATCTACATTCACAATCGAACGGTCCCAAATAGGGACAATAGAACGCATCTCAAGGGAAGTTATGCTAACTGATACCAGGCCCGCATTCAGTTTCATTGTTTTTTTTTTCCAGAACCCCCTTTAGTGCTGCGAGAGGACTGGGCCGCCTGTGGGTGCTCTGGGACGCAGGAGAGGCCGACTGAAGCACCGGCTGCATGTTGGAAACAGTAAGAACGATACACGAACGAAAAATGCCTCGAGGTTCTGAAAACTTGCTAAATACGCTATAGCGATTAAATCGCTCAATTGGCAACACTCGACTGCAAAAACGGAGTACTCGAATACACTTTTAGTTTCACCAGACTTTAATTCGACTGCAAGGTTTTGTAACAACAAAGAGCCATCTGATGGAACAGATGCTTATGAGGGAAATGAACTCAGGGCGCAGGCACTTTTAAATCAGTGATGAGACATTTTTGATCCCACGTTGAAAACGGTGGACACCAAAGAGCTTAACAGACATCTGATCCACTTGGGAGGCCAAAAACAAGCGGTCAGTTCCCAACATTCTCCCCAAAGCTCTAAAAGCAAACAAGCTTCCCATTTCTTTCTTGACAACTTGGACATGTATCTTTTGAGTCAAAAAAAAAAAAAAACTCCTGAGGTCATGAGGTCACACGCATACGCGCATTGGACTTATGTACTGAGATCCGATAGAAGAGCTATATACTGAAATTCGGCCTCGAGGACAAATGCTCATTTTAAAAAATTGAAACTGCCAACACTTCTAGAAATATGTTGACTCAGCGGATCATCGCTGTAGTGTTAAATTTTTAAAGTCGAAAATTAAATGACCGGTATCAGGCATTCGATGCCATCATCATGCTGCTCACGCGCTATGCTCTATTTAACCGGTCCATTGTTTCTTCATCTTGTAGATTTGACAGCATTCACCTGGAATACTGTCACAAAAATAATCCGTTAACGTGAAATTCAAGATGCAGCTCTATCTATTGGATCTCAGCTCTCATACAGTGCACATCCTTTACGCAGCTCTGCACACGCCATTGGTACAAGACGCCATTGTTTTTCTAATCGGAATCACGCAGGAAACCGAGAGCTTGTTTCGTGGTTCATATCCCAAGCGCTCATTAAATTAGCTTTGTTCCAGTTGCCAAGAATTTGGGGGGAAAACAAGTCCAAGGGAACTCAAAGGGAAGCGTGCCGACTGTGACGCTAACATCAGGAATGTCGCTTTATGACGAGTGTTGTGGAAAAGACAGAAAATGACAAGAACAAAAAAAAAAAAATCAAACGAGAATAAATACAGTTATATTTCATACAGCCTATGTGCTCAGGAAAGCATATTATCGGTGTTCGAGACACTGGTGTCTTGTAGTGATCTTTTGCATGGACACGTGCGCATTTACACCGGCCGCAGTCTGTGCCAGACTTTCATGTGCTTCCACTCAACAAAAGCTGAAAACAATTCATATCAAAAACAAACCCGTTGAACGTTTCAACGCACGCGCGACAGAAAAGGCTTCCCTTTCGTAAGAGCGCAAGACTAGCCCCCGGCCGGCTTCTAAAAGCGATAAATGCCCCGTTTGTGGACTGTGCGCGGCAAGCTAGTTGGTTCGTGGTCGCAGCCAAAAGCGCGTTGGAGGCTCAACCTCCAGGAACGGGGGGGGGGAAACAGAGGTGACATTTAACTCAACATATATCGCCGTTGTGTGCCGGTAGTAGAAGTGCAAATTTTGACACGGCAACAGTTTCACGAAACACGCTACAGTAATTAGATTTTGAAAAAAAAAAACAACAAAAACAAATCAGCTTATTCATTTCTGTCCGTAAACCGGTTCAGTGTAGACGCCTTGCCGGTGAAGTCGCAAAACTGCAGCGAGAGGGGAGCCCACGCGGAGTCGGGGGGGCAAAAACGACACTGTGGCCTCGGCGCTCACACTCCGTCCATTTCGGGGCAGATGGCGTCGGGGTCGCTCGGACTCAGTTCGCACAAGTAGAAAAGGGTTTCTTCGCTGGCTTGGGCCTCCGTGAGGGGCTCCAGGCGGACGAGGGAGCTGCGACCGGGTCGCCTCGACTCCACACCGCCGTCCATCAGCTCCGACGGAGGCTCCGAGCCCACGTAAGCGGCTGAGGCCGAGGCGCCGCTCCCCCCGCCCAGCTCCAATTCCGCAGGGGCGGCGCAGCCATCGAGGAAGGCCAACAGGGGACAGGAAGTGTACTGGATCAGCTGCTTGTCTGAAAAACAAACGCGGCGAGGCCGGCGGTCAACCGAGAGGACGAGCGCACGTATTTGTATGTTCTTTGCTCGGACGTGAGCGGCCCCGCTCACCTGTGTGGTTTTCCACCTGCTTGCCTCTGTCGACTTGTGTCGGGATTTGTTTGGAGGACGCGCTCTCCTGGAAAACGTGGAAATCAAAGCGTCAGCAACTTGCAAAGCAAATCACGTGTCCCAAAGGATACGTTGTTGATGTCGCAAGTCTTTGGATTTGCCGATGTATGCGTGGTGTGTGTCATGGAGGCCACTCTGATCCTGTCTCGACCCGGATGGCACTGAAGTTCTTAAATTTCAAGGAAAAGAAAACACGAGTGAAGTGTCTGGTCCCGGTGGCCCTTGTCCATCCATCTTGGGCCCCTTGACTCCTTCTTCTAAGCCAACAGTCTGGAACTTGGCTCTTCAACTGGACAGTGATTTGAAATTGGACCGGCAAATAGGTGCCGTTGTCCAATCCGGCTTCTTTCACCTTTTGGCAGCTGGCTAAATTAGTCAAGCCCCTCCTTTTGAAAGGGTCATTCATGCCTTCATTCCATCCTGGCTGGATGACTTTGGGGTCAGCCAGTCCTCCATGAAGCGTTTCCAGTTGCTCCAGAATGCCGCTGCTCGCCTGTTGCCTGGTACTCTAAAGAGGGAGCACGTAACTCCTACGCTGGCATCGCTACCATTTGAGAGTTCTTTTCAAGATTGTGTGATTAGTTTTCCCAATCTTGAAGTGGCCTGTGGCCCCACCTGACCTCTCTGAGCTCCTGCACCCCTGCCTCAGGTCTGCGGATCAGACACGATTCGGAGGCTCGAAGGGGACGGAGCCTTTTCCGTTGCCGCCGCCTTGGGCAGGCCCCTCGCTGGCCATCTTTCAAACTCATTTTTTTAGTCTTTGGCCTTTGACCCAGCATGACCCCAAAATGAGGCTTGATTTTGAGTTTTCCGCTTTTGACTGTCTTTGTTATTCATCGAGTGCCGTATGAATTCTTTTGGCTCCGTATACAGCGATGATTGTTGGAAAGGCCTCTGGAAAGACACTTGCGTTGAGTGCTGTCATTTTTACCTCAAAGGGATCAACGTCGAGGCCCGGTTTCCCATAAAGCATAGCCTGAAAGTCCTCCAGACTGCAGTCGATGCTGTCCAAATAGTCCATGAGCTCAAGCCTGACAACGGGGTCACAACATCACAAGAGAATTAGCCGTATGGTAGGCAAGATGTCAGTATTTCTAAATTTGTATTCAACAATTCTGCTTTATGATGTAAACATCATTTTGTCAGTTCTGATCCGCCGTACGGCAGTAGCGTCAATCGGCGGTTGGGGGCCGCTGCGCTCAATGGAACCTGATAGTGGAGGAATTACCGGTCAGTGGCGGATCAAGTCCCCACTGAAGTACAAAACGCACGGCACGTCACTGTTTTTTTTTTTTTTTTTCTTCGCTCGTGAAATTCTTGACTGCGGAATGCAGTCGGCTTTTTACGATCCCGTCATCGGCCCACCCTCGGTCAGAAGAGCGTCGAACGATAGCAGACACGAGTGGAAACTTACTTGCCAAGGAGGTTGATATTCTGCGAGATGGCTCCATTTTCCTTGAGTATGGAGTCCATCATCTTGACGTGGTCTTCCAGACTCGGACCGGACGCTTTATTGAGCTGAAGAGCGCCGCCGGTCGGTCCGTTGCCGTCCGACGCGGCGCTCCTCGCCTGTCCCGCCGCTTCGCCCTCTTTGACATCTTCGACGCAGGCGGCGCCGGCCTCCGCCTCGGCTTCCAGCACCGGGCAGGCGTCCAGATCCACTTCCACTATTTCGACATCACTGAGGGCATTTGAAAGACGGCCGTCAGCGCCGCGAATTGCAACAAGGCCATTTTGACGGCTCGCTTCCGAGTCCGCGTCCGTTTCTGTTCAATGCCGTTTATTGTGCGACGCAGCGGTCGTCGAAGGACATGTAATGAATAACTCTTAGGAATAACGTATAAAAGAATGACCCTTAGAGATGCGGCGAAAAGCTCGTGTACAATTTTAGTCTTCTCGCGATTTATTTATTTATTTATTTGCAAACAATTCGGTATTATTGACAGGAAGTTAGGGTATTCGACCCCATTTTCGACCGCCGTTGATGAGAACGGCAGGTGGGTTGACTCACCACAGCTCGTTGTTTCTGGGCGACCCGTCTGCGAGGTCGGTGGCCCGCTCTACGTTGTTCTCGGTGAAGTCACAGATGATGACGTCATCTAACGCCTCGGATGCCTTCACGCTATTCCGACTGCTGACGGGCGACTAATAGGTCAAGAAAAACAAAGCGCCTCGTAGAACAGCCGGACCGATCGATATCGCTCGACGCCGCGGAACGCCGGCAATGCATCCGTGTTTGAAAAAAGAAATATTCAAGTGGCCGGCACCGACCTGCTCCACACACACTTTGTCATCGTAGATCTCGTGGAAATATTTGGCCTTCTTTCCGTTGCTGTTCATGAGAATTGGCCTGCCAAAAAGATACGTCAGATGTCAATAGCTTAGGTCGAAATGAATTTAAGTTGGGCATTTCGAAACTGTGTTTTGTTGTTTCCTTGAAATTGGCTTGATGGGGCAAAGACTTTTTGACGGCACTCGACTTGAACACTCGCCTTTTGCGCTTTAAATTCAACAGGTGGTTGTTCTGTACCAGTGTGACGATGAAATGTACCAACTGGAAAAAAAAACACAACAAAAAGCAGGTCAGCGAGGAGAAAGACGTCCGAGTAAAGACCGGCATTTACCTTCTTGATGAGCTGTTGCTGGTGGGCATGCTTCTGTCTCAAATCCGAAATCTCAGTCCACAGAGTTTCATTCTCCCTACAGGACAAAACGAGTGCCAGGCAGGTCCGCTTAGCCGTTTTAGTCGTTGTGACAAACATCGGAGGCGAGACGCTACAGTGGCTTGCTAAAGGATTCGGCCCCCTTTCATGTCAGCCCCGCCAACTCGTTCCAGACGTTCCCCGACCATTTCGGAATGATCTGCCCTTTGGCCTACATGACTGACGATGACAACTCGAGTCCACCTGTGTGTGCGTAATATCGTCTCAGAATCAACGCATCTGCTCGGGGATGTTCTCAGAGGGCATCCCCGGCCGGCATACGAATACGTGGGAGCAAACGGCCGAAGAGATCGAGTCGAAAGCCGGATTAGGATATGAAGAGATGTCGCCAAGCTTTCAACATCTCGCCGAGCGCTGTTCCATGTTCAAAGTTGGATGTTGTTCGCTTGAATGCGGTTCCGGACGGACGTCTGCCAAAAGTGTGAAATGGATCACCGAAGCACTTAATTGCCACGGTCGACGCGTTTGCCGCGTCATTCTTCGAAATGAGCTTCACCGTCTTTTTCTCCTCACCCCTTAGCCAGCATGACAACTTGCCAAACGTGGAGCTTATTCTGGATGAGCTGCAGAGGACCAGAGTTGCGCAAATCTGAACTCGATGGAAAAGGGGCAAGAGAAAAGACAACCATAAAAAAAAAAAAAAAAAAGTCCCGTTGGAAGTTTGCCCAGCCTACCAACACGTACATGGAAGACGGCGGTCCCGCCAGATGGGACCAGATCTTTTGTTTTGCATCCCCCACTTTTCAGTTGTTATTAAAATGCTTCCAAATTGTGTTCCACTTGGTGCCATTTTGTATCTCGATGTCCGGAGCCTGAAATTTGGCGAAAACGGTCCCGAGTTTGGCAAGCCGCTGTAGACGAAGGGAGGGCACAAGGGTTGCGCAACCAAGCCACCTTCGCGGAGGCCGCACTGACCTCTTCAGGGTTGCTAGCCTGATGTCGACGTTTTCTTGCTTGCTGTGAACGCTCTGAACGCTGGCCAAGATCTTGGACAGGTCTTCTTGTCGAATCTTCGTTTCCTCGGGACGTGTATTTGAGACCTTGGTGCCAGAATTGAGAGCCCCAAGAAAAGGCACAAATTAAAGAATGGTGTACACAGGTCATCTTTTGAGCAGTTTCTCATGCCATAGACCACCGGGTGTCAAACCCAAGGCCCGGGGGCCAGATCTGGCCCGCCGCATCATTTTATGTGGCCCGCAAAAGCAGAGCAAACACGTCAACTTGCAGAATGCTTTCTAAAACGTCGAACAAAAATGTAAATTTATTTGTGACTTCTTTGTATGGTTTCGGTCGTAACGGCCCTCCAAGGGAAACGCTAACTAAAATGTGGCCCGTGACAAAAATGAGTTTGACACCCTTGCGCATCGAGCAATTTTGAGAGGGAAAAACAAATGTATTGTCATGTGCATCCGATTGTGCTGGACTCTTATTTTCCAGACATGATGTTGAAATGACAAGAAGTGAAATATAACTTTGATTTCCCGAAGGATTGGGAGAGGTAGAGCGTGCGTATGAGCGACGCATACAGTCTCTTCAGGCCCTTAGGCAGATGACGGATGATGATACATGCCAGACTCCGCCAAAACGCAGATTCCCGCATATTCCGGTCACTGGGGTGTCGTCTCTTCTTTCCAGAGCCGCTCTTCAGAGTCCAGATGTGCAGCGGGGCAATCATACCTCCTTCCTCTCCCTCGGGGAACCCCCGTTATTCAGTCAACGCTTATGTCAGGGGTGGCCAAACTTTTTCATTTGAGGGCCGCGTATACACGAATGGAAGGCCACTTTAAAATTCCAAACACGCCAAAGTCAGTCACGAAAACAATGATAAATTGGTTTGTATTGTCGAGTTCATCTCATCGGTTTTCTGTTGATGTCAAATGTCCTTTTTAGTATTCTACATAGATTTTATTGAGTCATGTTGCGGGCCGCTGAAACGTGGATGGTGGGCTGCAAATGGCCCCCGGGCCGTCATTTGCATACCACTGCTCTGACATGTCGAAAGTAACTGCACAAAACCTAAAATGTGTGGCAGTAGTGTAAGAAAAATATCCAAAAGCATGTCATGAATCCAACATGTAGAAAATATTCCATTGTATTCTGCGAATAATGGAAATCCATCCATCCCTCCATTTTCCGATCTGCTCACGAAGGTCGCCGGCACACGCAGACCATCAACCATCCGCGCTCACATCTCGGGACAATTTCGAGTGTTCCATTAGCCTGCCATGCATGTTTTGGGAACGCGAGATTCTTCTCCCTGCGCAGGCACGGGGAGAACATGCAAACTCCACACAGGCAGGCCGGATTGAGCTCCGAGGACGCGCTAACCAGTCGACCGCCGCGCCACCTGCAAATGTAACTATGGAACAAAATTCAAGAACATTCAAATATTGAGAGACTTTACCTTTCTCTTGATGTTCTCCAGCAGGTCATCCTGTCCGTGTTTGAAGCAAGCATGCTGAAACTCCACAGGACCGTCTCTCTCCTGCTTGACGATGCCTTGGTCGAGGTGCATCACTTTACGGAATCCATCTGAATGAAATTTGAATTTTGCACAATCAACTGGAATGTGTCGCAATGCTAAGATTTCGTATCAGTCGGGACTGTCATTACGATGAAAACATCCATGAGAAACCCCTGCTTTATAGTATTTCCACGTTGTGTCATGCGTACAGCATTTCAAAGTCTTTCCTGAATTCTCCCAATGTTTGGAATCGCTTATTCGGGCGAATGGGGAAAAAAAAAGCAGTCAAACTTCATTGACTAAAAAAATAACACTTGCATCACAAGGAAATGTGTCTTACACATATTGAGCTGCCTGATGAAGCTGGCCATGTTGTTGTGCTTGAAGAACTTGGGGAGAATCTCCTTGGCGAACCGCTGCTCATCCAGCACTAGGAAGCTATTGCCCTCCTTAAAAAGAGCCAACGCCATGATGAGATAGATATTATATTTTCGATGTGTCCAAATGTAAAAAGGAAAGGGATTGTTGGCTGAGGTACATTTAGCAGCAAGCTTGCACACACTAAAAGCTCTTGCTAGCTGCGATTAACCGGTCGCGCACAGGTTTATCTGGTCAAAAAATGAAAAAAACAAACGCGTTCTATTTACAGCACGTTGACATTTCACAAACCCGTGCAAGTCGTGAATTTGCTAATGTTCAAATCAATGCGAGACGACGGTCGGTGCTCTGCGTTTTCGCGACGGTAAACGGCTTCGCTGGCCACCTGTTTTGTGTTAGCTTCTCCCACGAGCGAGCTGACTGACTGCGAACAGTGGCAGCATTACCTGACTCCAGCAAATAAGTTCATTGGTGTCCGCATCCTCGACCAGCGTCCACAGCTTGGTGAGGAAAGCCGGGACGTTCGAGTTGTGTTTCATCTCGAAACCTGAATGATTTTCACAAAGCATCCGCGATTTTGGCGAGGGGATGCGATTGTTTACCGTTTTTGTGGACGAGGCTCTTACAACTTCCGTTTCAAGTGCTTTGGGGCTGATTGGTCAAAAAGGAGTTTTACGTAATGACCCTCACGTGGGACACCACGCGTGCAGACCAAGTGTAGACCACGAGATGGCGTCCTTAGCGTGTGATTTATTTTCTTTCGTTTTATTTTGACTTCAGTGAGCCACTTTAAAGACCATTTTGTTCTCTGTGTTATCGTGCCTGTTTAATCTTCTAATCCTACTTGTGAATGCGTTCTCTCAGGATTGTGGTTTCCGTTTCCGGTTTACGGGGGATGTTTCTCACTTGGCTCCGTATACAGTTGATGATTGGTACTGCACTGTAATAAATTTACGTATAATTTAAAAGCTTCGCGAGTGACATTGTCACATAAAAATAACCAACCATGAAAACAATAATTCAGTATTGCTCATTTGCGACAGCACTTCCTGCCTTCAAGACAAAATCCGGAGGCGGGGGGAAATACACCCGGAGCGCGAAACTCAAGCGGGGAATATGACGAGTTTCCGCCGAAAAATTGTGTTTGTCGTTGAGACGTGCTTCTTGTTTCTGCTTTTATTTTTAAGTGTAATTGCAGACTTCAGTATTATAACCAGCTACGCAGTTTGAAGTTGGACCCAAAATGGATGACTAAGCAAACGGATAAAGTTCGTACACCGCGACAAGGTGGGATGAATGTCGTTTTGGTTTCACACAGCCGAAAACTACCTAAATGAATTAAATACACCGTGTACAACGCGGCAGGTGCCATCACGAATTCACTGTTCGAAAGAAGGGGTGCGTCTCATAGTAAATAATTTGCACTGACTTTTGCCATGTGACACTTCTGCAAAGAGTGACGTTGTGTACACACTAATGCTTATGATCATAACATTTGCCGTCGTCTGTTTTTGCAGGTGGGTCTTTCTTCAAGATGGCGCTAAATGCAGAACAGGAGGCCGTGATTAGCCAGATGTTCGAAGCCTATATTTCAGAGTATCATCAAGATGACATGGTGAAGCTCCTTGCAGCCTCCAGCGATGACAGTCATCGGCCTGTTGTTATCAATGCTATGACATTGTTTGAAGCCAACATGGAGGTACTTGAACCAGAAATAAAAGACTGACTCGAACGGAAACATTCAGAATGCCGTGCACGTTCAGAAATGATTACTTGTAAATCCTCAATAGTCTACAGCCGTTGTTCAAATTGTCCACGCTCTCTGATTTCAGATAATAATTCTCGGATTTCTGTAGGACTTCATGAAGGCAGCCAGTTTATCTTGGTGTCTAACCAAATGTCCATCTGATTTTACCCAACAAAACAATGATCGATTTTTTTTTCCTCTTCATATTTTCTGACATGTCACGCATGCCTATTGCATTATTGTATTTTTATTGTATGTACGCATTTGCGTGTTACTTGCCCTCAGATTGGTGACTATTTCAACGCCTATCCCAGTGATGTCCTGACAATATTTGATAAGGTTTTGCACAAAACAGCCATGGAGTTGTCAGGGAACGCCTCTGTTAAGCGTTTGGATGGACTGCGCCCAAGACAACCGCAAATGAATCACACCCTCCATGCACGTATCACAGGTCAGATATCCAAATCAGTGTGATGGTCTCATGTCCAACCAGCGATCTTCTTTCGCTTATCCGCATCGTGTTGCGGCGGCGGTGTGTGTGTGTGTGTGTGTGTGTGTGCGCGTTACCATCCCTCTTGTGTATCCAGGTCTACCAGTTTGTCCAGAACTCACAAGGGACACCATTCCGCGGTCGAGAGATGTTGGGCATTTCTTGTCCGTCACTGGGACTGTCATACGCACGAGTGTTGCCAAGGTAGTCGGGCCGTTGTTTGGACACTTTACACAACATGGACGTTATTGGACTGTGACGAACGTCTCCATTGGTGTTGATGTGTTGTCTCTTGTTGCTTGGCTTTAGATCGAGCCGTGCGTATTAATCTCTCGCCTCCGTAGGTTCTGGAGTACGGGCGCGACTACATGTGCACCAAGTGTCGTCATGTTTTCGTGCTGCGGGCTGACTTTGAGCAGTTCTATGCCTTCGTCCCACCGGCGGCCTGCCCCAATCCCGATGGCTGTAACTCGTGCAAGTTCAGCTGTCTGTCTGGAGGGTCGGAGCCTACTGCCTGCAGGGATTACCAGGAGATCAAAATACAAGAGCAAGTAAGGGCGACGGTGTATTTTCGTACCCTCTCATTACTCAATGAATAATTTCAATCGCCATCCAAATGACAGGTGCAGAGGTTGTCAGTGGGCAGCATTCCTCGTTCTATGGTTGTGGTTCTGGAGGATGACCTTGTGGACAGCTGCAAGTCAGGTAGGAAGCCAACATTTTTTTTTCAGTACCAAATCACTGAACACATTTACTGCCAAAAGGTAAAAACGGCTTTGCGAAAGCCCGAGCATTTCGTGTGTCATCTGATGCAGCGTTTTGATCGAATGGGCTTCCCAAGGAGATGATGTGACCGTTTATGGAGTGATGTGCCAACGCTGGAAACCCTTTTATGAGGGTGCTCGCTGCGATGTGGAGCTCGTTCTCAAAGCCAACAACGTGGAAGTCAACAACCAGCAGGGCGCAGCTTCTTTACTCATAGAAGATGTTCAGAAGGAATTCAAAGAATTCTGGGAGAGCCACAAATGTGATCCGATAGCTGGTAAGAAGTTCTCCCCGCTTCCAATCATCGATTCTGCTTGAAGATTTTTTAAAAAAAAAAAATTCTCTCTTCATCCTCTGCAGGTAGGAACCAGATCTTGCTGAGTCTGTGCCCTCAAGTGTTCGGCATGTATGTGATCAAACTGGCCGTTGCCATGGTGCTCGCTGGAGGGGTGCAGAGAATAGATTCTTCTGGAACCAAGACCAGGGGTATTGATCCTGTTGGATATTTCTCACAAAAGCAGCGCTGTCCAAACTTTTACGTTTGAGGGCCGCATTCATAGAAATGCAAGGGCCACTTTTGTCAACTTCCATTTCTGAAACACGCGTAAGTCAGTTACGCGCGCAACGATATATTGGCCACATTTTCTAGTTACTTTTGGAAAACCGTTTCCGTAGCAGCTCTCTGCTAAAGCTGAGAAGGCAAATTGTTTCGGAAACACAAACGCGCGCTGTGATCGAAATACTGATCACCGCCCAATATGTTTTTTCAATTTCATTCAGTGAGGGCCTTTCCAGAGAAAGAGACAAAAACCGCAAGGCGCAAAGTAGAACGCTGACGCGACGGTTGGTTGCCGTCTTATCTTCTGCTCATTAGGCGAATGTCACCTGTTGCTCGTTGGGGACCCCGGGACGGGCAAGTCTCAGTTTTTAAAATACGCAGCCAAGATGATGCCTCGCTCTGTGCTCACCGCCGGAATCGGTTCAACGAGTGCGGGTACGTGTGCCCTTCATCAGGCTTTTGACATTCTCGCACCGATGTGCAGCGGACTTGCGCATTGTCTCAATTGCTGCAGGGCTGACGGTGGCCGCAGTGAAGGACGGAGGTGATTGGCATCTGGAGGCAGGGGCCCTGGTCCTCTCGGATGGCGGTTTATGCTGCATCGATGAATTCAACAGTATCAAGGAACACGACCGCATCAGCATCCACGAAGCGATGGAGCAACAGTCCATTAGCGTGGCCAAGGCTGGGTAGGATATTCATCGCAAGATTATTCGATGGGGGGGACGGTCTGACCAAAATGTGAATTTTTACCCTTTGTGTAGACAGCACTCAAAGATTCTGTCCTCGGCATTGTTGCTTTTTTTTCCCTCTCCATAGTATGGTCTGCAAGCTGAACACTCGAACGACCATCCTGGCAGCGACCAACCCAAAAAGCCAGTATGACCCAAAGGAATCCCTGTCAGTCAACATAGCGCTGGCAAGCCCTTTGCTAAGTCGGTTTGACCTGGTTCTGGTTCTGCTGGACAACAGAAATACAGACTGGGACCGCATCATCTCATCCTTCATTCTGGAGGATCGAGGTAGGGAGAAGATTCACATTCTTAAAAAAAAAAGTTTGCATTTTTGTCGGGCAGCACGGTGGGCGACTGGTTAGCTCGCCGGCCTCACGGTGCAGAGGTGCGAGGTTTGATTCCGGTTCCCGTGTGGAGTTTGCACGTTCTGCCCGTGCCTGCATGGGTTTTCTCTGGGTTCCTTCCACATTCCAAAAACATGCATGGCAGGTTATTAATGGAACACTCAAATTTGGCCCAAGATGTAATCATGAGCGCGGATGCTTGGTGGTCTCTGTGTACCCCGCGATTGATTTTAGCATGGCGAAAGTGTTCCAATTCGACCCCATTCTTTGTTCTCAGGGCTACCGTCTGAGTGCTCCGCCCTATGGCCCATGGAGAAAATGAAGGCCTATTTCTGTGTCATAAAGCGTTTGCAGCCACAGGTTTCGGTGGAGGCCAACTCCATCTTATCAAGGTACTATCAGCTGCAAAGGCAGAGCGAAGGCCGCAATGCTGCGCGCACAACCATCCGCATGCTGGAGAGTTTGAGCAGACTGGCTGAAGGTGAGGAAAAAAAGAATTCAAAATGTAGTGTCAGATCGGACCATCCCTACGATGCACGCGAGTATAAGAACTGTGATTACAATCCTCATCAGTGAACTGTTTTAAATCCGCACAGCCCATGCTCGACTCATGTACAGAGAGACTGTAACTATCGAGGATGCTGTTATGGCCGTCTCTGTCATGGAGTGCTCCATGCAGGTATTTGAAACGTCACTTGGTACACCAACACAACGCTATTACGTAGAGGAATCGCTTCATACTTTGGTGCCAATTTCACAGGTACTTTTGTGGTTGAATAATATCGAAAGGTATGACACTGGAGTCTGTGCTAATTATACTCGTGTAAAACATCTTTGTTCATTGTTTGTTTGTTTTTTACGATTAAATGACAATTGTAAAACTGTATGCACTCTTTTAGGGTGGCGGTTTGCTCGGAAGTGTAAATGCAGTGCTGACCTCATTCCCTGATGACCCCGGTCAGCAGTATCAGACGCAGTGTCAGGTACTGTTAGGAGGCCTGAAACTGCCCGTCTTACTTCAGAAGGAGATGGACAGATTGGCCAGGTGGGTCCATGTTGTGGGCGTGGCTCTCTCAGTTAGCCATTCCACCATGCTAGCCATTTTTTTGCAAGCATATTTTTGTTTTACGAGTCTATTTTTATTGTTCGTTGATCAATAAGTCAAATGTAAAATGCCCAAAAGAACACTATTGACAAAACTGAAAAGAAAATCCGGAAGCCACGCCTTTACGCAACTACACTTTAATTTTGAACTCTCATCCTCATCAAAGTTGAGTTGTTTTTGGCGTTAACCTAGCTGTCATGAAAAAATAAAATGATGTCCAGTGTGTATATTTTACACAGTTGAGACAAAGATGACAGCCACACACGCATTAAGTCTTTCATTCTAAAACCTTATACAGTAATTAACATTGCCTTCTGTGAGTGGCGAGCGATCACTGTGGCATGCATGCATTCATTCATTGTTTTTTTTTTAGGCTTGGGAGCAGCACCGTCGAGGCTTCCAGCTCTGAGCAGCCAACTGATGGCCACCATCCTCATCCTGGAGAAACAGACTCGATCACCGCCATGCAATCGGACGTACCGGAGACCTCCATGAGCGGTGCTGAGCCGGAGAGCGGCTTGGATTGGTTTTACTCCATCACGCCTTCTCGAACGTCAAATGAAATCTCCTCTGCGGTATTCACTTCAACTCAACTTGACGCCAATCAAAAAACAGACCCCGGTGTGACGACTAAGGCCAGTTCTCCAGTAAACTATCATCTGAATTCAAAGAGAGACCTGACAGTCACTGTTACCGCTGAGGAAGGTGGAATGATCGGAGAGAAACACCCCGACGCTCAAGAGAATCTACGCGGACCTGACAGACAACACGCAGAGCCGCCCGGGAGTGCAATTCAGCTTCGGCGTAAACTCCAGCAAAGTGACAAAGCAGAGATTGGACTTGGAGAAAGTGAGGTCGCTGTGAAGAATGCAAGTCAAGCTGTCACCGTTTCAGACGCAACTTCCAATACGGGCGTGGATCACCGAATTCAGAGTAAGCCACGGTTTCACACTGCGACGAAAACCATGAGCGCTCGGCTACCGGACACGATTGCGGCTTCAGATGAAAATATTCCTTTCAAGTTTTCAGACTTTGTATTCAAACCGAAGAAGATGACACCCGTCGTCGGCGGTGTCAATTCCGGCGCGAGGTCACCTGAATGCAACCTGGACAGCAGAAATGGTCCAAACGTTCAACACAAGGTTGGCAGCAACGATGAGGCCAAGGGTGCGCTTCCGAGGAACGACGGTAGAAAAAATAAAACGCGTGAAAAGCACCCTAGTTTCAAAGGTGGAAGCGTGAAAAAGCAAGTGAGCTGTGTCAGCAATAAAACCACGTTGTCTTTTCCGCCAGAAGAACTGGAAAAGGACAAACCACCACGAGCACAGACTGGTGGCACGATAAGCCAAAGACCTGACATGGGGAGCCAAGATGGTCTCCGGAGTAAAGAAAGTTTGACACCTTTAAGAGCGACTTCCAGCCCCGCAAAGTCCACAGTCACCCCCTCAACTCTCGCTAAGCTTTCAAGATTCTCTTTCAGCGGCACAACCGAACCCAGACCCACACTTCCGGCAGACCTGGAAAAGAATCACCAACTGGAAAAAAGTCCACGTGAAAAAGAATGTGTGGAATTATCGAGGACCGCTTCCGACAGAACAACCGAAGAAAGACCAAAAAGAATGAAAAGAATGCGAGAGGTAAAAGCTGCTTCATCTTCCCCGAACGCCTCGCAGAATCCGCCTCCTTTGGAACATGGCCCAGCGGCATGTGCAAGCATAAAACTAACGGAACCGACTCCTTCTGGAACACATGTGGTAAAAATGGGTCAAGGTAGGGCCACGGTATTTCATAATTCCGTCAAGATGAAGAAGAAGTGTTTGGAATCGGGCACTCCAGCAAGTGCTCCGTGCGGTTCGAAAGCTGTGTTTGTCAAAACTTCTCTCTTTGGCTCTGGTGACTTAAATGATGACATTCTTGACACTGACTGGGACAAAGAGGTCGCAAAGAAAGCCAAAGTGCGATATTCTAGGTAGCAGACCCCCCGAGAAGGAAAAAAAAAAAAAGCAAGTTGCGTTTTTTTTAAAGTTATGTCATAGATGGCCTCTAGAGGGAAACCTTGATCTGCTGTCAATCCCGACAGTTCCAGTCTTGCTATTCTTCACAGGCGGTGTAAAATGATCCATTAATTCACGCATTAGCAGTATCTTAAGGTCGATCTTTAGTTCTCCTTTAAAATTCGCAACATCAGTCTTGGCTTGTCTTTTTCAAACAAAGAATTGACTTTTGGTGGGTTTTTTTTCACCGTCGGCAGTCGACGAGCCGTGGCGAATTTGAAGGCAATGCGCGGACCGTCACGGCAAAGCAATGTTGACAGTGTTGCGCTAATTGGATTTGGACAGTAACGTTACATCAAAAGACGTCTCCTGCTCTTTTCAAATGGCAGTAATTAGAGCTTTCTTTAACACCAAGGGAGATTAGGGAGTGGGATTAAGAGTAGAGTATATTGCAAACGCTAATGTGACATAGGGAAACGTCATGGCAAACTGCGCCCCAAAAGCACTTCAGAGCAGAACCGGTGATCGTGATCTTTATTTCATAGATGTTTTTTGTTTTTTTAATATAAAGCTTGTCTTTCTTTATTTGATGGACTCCTATCCCATTTCATAAACCGGGATGCGACGTTTCCTGGAGCACAGTTTGCGCTTAATTTAATTGCCAGCCATCTGGGTTTACATGACATTGACAATTTATTTTAAAAGTATACATGGGCACAAAAAAGGTCCACTGGATTATCCCGACCTTTAATTAAAGCAATCATTTGAAGTTGGGCATGAAAACAATGTAGCCATTTTCGATACACTTTGCGCTAACTTGTCGGAGAAGATGGAGGGGGTGGGGTGGCGGGGGTCGGGTTGGAGTCGAAGTGGCCTGACTCTGGCTGCAACTTGCACTTCATTTCACATTGTTGGCAACGTAAAGTTCGGTCAGCAGTTTACATTGTTACCACTGGCCGTTCTGGTGCGAGACTTGAGGCGTAGATCATAACTAAGCACTGACGAACTCACTTCAAGTTCAACATGAAGTAGATGACGGATTTTCCCAAAAAGCGCCTGACCGGTTACTCGACAAAACAATTTTCGTCGCCACTTGCTGTCAACTGAAAATGACTCTGGTCTCAGGGAACGACCAATCGCGGCTCTGTTTTATTTATTTATTTTTTTTAGGCTGGTCACGTGACAATCTCAAACTGAGCCGTGGGTGGTCTATCCATAGGCCTGAGCGACCGATGGTCATTTCAGCAAATGGACATGAAAAATGGGAAAAAGAAAAGAAATGTTTCTCGACAAGTGAACATTGAATAAAGGAGTTTATTATTTAGATCTTTTGAATGGGGTTGCTCATGATATCTTTGGACGACCACACTCATGATGGGACTGACTGGTAGTAGCCGTCGCTTTGATTCAATAAAAAGAATGCATCAAAATGTCTGTTGCTGAAATATTCATCTCTGGTGCAATTTGCAAAAACATACCGTCCAACAAATTGTATAATGGGATATTGACATCACATACCACAGGTCACCTCGGGTTCAGTTGGAATGCAGCGCAACAAAAGCCAACCAGTGAGCGTTTGTACGCGACCTCGCTTTGACACCGCCACCATCATATTCTGACACAAGATGTTATATGCTTTGGATCGCCAGCTGTTGCTTTCCTTCTCCGCGTGCCTCTTTCCATCCTTCTAATTCAAGTTGCCGTTGGGTTCACCTGCCCAAAGTAACTCTTTAAAGTTCCTTTTAAATGTTTTTTTTTTTAAACCTTTTTAAGAGGTTTTCTGGCATGGTCTACGCTGTTTTTTTTCTCTTATTAAATGATACCCTGGTTTGGAGCTAGTTGAAACAGGCCAACTTTTTGGGGGTTATTATTGTCACAATGTACACAAACATCATATAAAGATGATTTTCTTTTTTTTCATTTAAAGTGAATGCTTATCTAAACGTATTCAAACATTCAGCCATTGCGCACTCAATAAGTACCTTATTCATTTGGATTTTTCTGGGCTCAAATCAAGTTGTGTTCCTTACAAGGACTTGGCCTGTCTTTTTTTTTTTTTTTTTTGAACTCTTTTTCCAAATGCCCGTATTTACCATTTCACAACCACAATCCGTAAGGGACGGCTCACCCGAAATGAATTTGCTGTCTAAGGCAATTGTGACAAAATAACACATGTGCATGCGTGCGTGTGTGCGCGCAACTCTGTCCTGCATGTGGGTTTTCATAGCAGGTTTGAGGCTTCATACTGGACTGTGCTGTGACGCACCAAATTGTTGGAAAGAACATGCATTTTCCACTGGATTTAAAACTTTGGACATTCGTTTTATAGTTGTTGTTCTCCCCCATTACTTGATTCATATTGAGGTCTTGCAGGACAAAAAAAAAAAAGCCCCAAAAAACAAAAGACGCCATAACTGCTGACACGAGCAGATTTTCTTTTTTCTTCAAGCGAGTGATTAAAGATGCCGCAGTCTGCCAAGAGGCATTAAACACTGACAAGTGCCAATGCATAAAATTTACGGCATCTTCAAACAACGTCTGATTAAGTGTAATCCAATCGGTATGCCGTTTTGTTCCTTTTTCAGAGCCCCCTGCAAACACAAAATTATTAGGTGATCTCACCAAAAAGTTGTTACGTCCCAGACGCGCAGGAAGTTGTTTTCCCATAGAACTTAAGTCGCTACATGGAGTCTTTGAAGAGCTGGAAAATAGACGAAAGTTGGTGCCAGACCGAATCTAGCTACTAATGCGTTTCATTTCAGACAGGTTGAAACAATCATCGACCAGAGGTTGCATGGTGATGGCGACGAGTCAGAGAACAGTGGGCTGTTATCACTTCTTTTTTTTTTTTTTTTTTTTAACATGCATATGTGTCAGTCAGTTTCTTGTTTATTTATTTAGTTACCGGTTTGCTTTTATCCAATCGTGCTTGCTTTGCCCACATTCCAAAAACAAAAAGTCAAATCGCAAGGAAAAAAAAAAAAGGGCAAAGTGTAAGGAAATAAAGTTGTCATATGATGACAATAAAATCATCATAGAGAAAAGGCGGGCTTGATTTGAGAGAGAGAAAAGGTCTTTTGCTTCAATGTCAAAATCGCCGTCCAAATGCAACGGCATTTGTAACCTCGTCCCGTCTCTGAATGGTCACACGCCTTTGCATCACATCCATCCATTTTCAGCTTAACCGAGGTCAGGTCACGACGTCAAGAGTTGAAGCAGGGAAGCCCGGACTTCCATCCCCCCGGCAACTTGGTCCAAACTTTTCCGAGGCATTCCGAGAGTGTTCCCAGGCCAACCGGGCAACATGGGTTGGCTCTCCGGTGACGTATTCCAGTACCAGCGCGCTGTGCCTGGTATACGTCACCGGAGAGGCCTCCGAACCAGATGCCCCAGCCACATCATCCGGCTCCTCTTGGGGCCTCCTTGAGACTTTTTTTTTGCCCAAAGGTGCATGACGTCACACACGTTTGCTACAAACTAAGATTAAAAAAAAAAAACATTTGTGTGTCTCTGCATGTTATTAATATATTTTATTGCGTTAATGCACAGTGCACCCTATCAGTCTCACTTTCACCAAAAGTACCAAAAATATTAATAAAATAAAATGAAGCAGGTCACCTTTAACCTACGGCGGCGCGTGACCTTCATCACCGGAAGTAGTTAGCGCTCGGCAGTCTGCGCTGTTTGCTATCAGAGCTGTTGCCATGTAGCTTTTTTTTAATTTTTTTATTTTTATCATTCTCAATCAAAGTTTGTTTTGTTAGCGCTCAGCAGTCTGCGCTGCTTGCTATCAGAGCTGTTGCCATGTAGCTTTTTATTTTTTATTTTTATCATTCTCAATCAAAGTTTGTTTCATCCGCAATTCACCGACGGCACTGGCAACGAATTGGAAGCGCCAGGAGAAGCGTTTTCGAACTGGACGCGTGAGCTGCGATAGTTAACAAGCTGCAAAAGTGCGCCGCATACTTCCGCGGTCAGGTCTCCCACTGAAGGTAGGCAACGATTTCCTTTTCACAAACTCATCAACTCTTTGTGACGACTTTATTTTTCTGCTTCGCTTTGGCGCGCGTGTGTTAAGTGCCTTCGAGTGCCCCCATTAGCCTGCCGTGCATGTTTTTAGAATGTGCGGGGAAAAGCGGAGTACCGGGTGAAAACCCAACCCACGCGGGCACGGGGAGAACATGCAAACTCCAATTAAGCCTGCCGTGCGTGTTTTTGGAATGTGCCGGGGAAACCGGAGTACCCGGTGAAAACCCACGCGGGCACGGGGAGAACATGCAAACTCCACAGAGGAAGGCAAACGAGTTGTATCTTTTCTGTGTGCGCAGCCTTGTTGCTATCCGTCAGCCTTAATTGACAGCATATGGGCAGGATTGAGGGTGGTGGTATTTGTTCAAGAGAGGTGGGAAAGTCGTAGCAAACTATGCGCTTGCGAATGCATGTGCCTTTTATTGTGTCTTGGTTGGGCAAGGAGTGCATGCAACGTTGCAACACAGCAAAAGAACAAACCGAATGAAGAAGCATTCCCTCCAGCTCAGGAAGGAACCTGCAAGCGGGCCACCGAGGGGCAGACGGTGGCAGTTGGGCCCCACGGAGAGCACAGATCTCTGCTCTGTGAAGTGGCTGCCTGGAATACTGCCTTTGATTGATTGATTATGTGTATGCATGCAAAAAAATGAAATCATAAATTGGCTTAAGGGATGCATTCTGTGTCCATTTCTCTCTGTACTTTTGTAAGCTTGCAAGCTCATGCACAGGCCGTGTTTGCAAACAGATAAGCGTGAACAGAGATTTTGTTCATAAAATGACCTTGACTAGAAAGTGGCAGCTGCTGACTACTGTTTTTTTTTCTCCTATCTAGGGAGGCGGATTTCTTCGATGGCTTCTTCAGAGGATTTCACATCTCAGAAGACGTTAATCAACAGGTGAGAATTTGACTGCAGTGTGATGTTGGTCAATGTTCGTTTAACAGTCAACAGTATTTCGAGAGTACTTTAAAACAACCAATGCTGTGTATGAAGTGCTGTACATGGAACAAAAAGAATTCATGTCAGACAATAAAGTCATCACAAAGACGGTAGAAAGCACCAAAAGAGTCCAACTGAAAAGCGAGTCTCACGCGTTGGCAAAAGTCAAAGATAAAAATTGAGTTTGAATGAGCAAATCATTTCCCGAGCATATTTTGTGTCCTGCTTGCCCTCATGAGTGTCGGTGGGAAGATGAAGATGAGGCAAGCGGTTCATTGGGCGCCAGGTGGGGTACGCCCTGTACTGATTGGTCGCCAGACAAACGTGAAGTCACACCTCGTGTCCCATGCTAGCGTGACCCGTGCGACGAATTCTTGAGCTCAAGTGATCATGACCGGCTTCGGTTTCAAGTTGAGCAAATATTAGCCGAGACAAATGATGTTATTTGAATGCGGCTTGAGCTGTTCTGGAAACATCCATTCATGCCCTCCAAGAGACTTTTTCCTGCCTTTGTTTTGGTGTCGCTGTGTACGAGCACGTAAGGTTTTCAAAGTCTTCATTTCCCACTCTGAGTGTTTGATTCCATCCGCCAACCTTTTCCTCGTGGCTTGCGGGATCTGATTAGAGCAGCTTTACTTTCAGACCTCCGAATTACAGCAAGCCTCCTCCCTCACCCCCCATGGGTGCAATTTTGGAAGACTCTTTGTCCTGCCTCAGCTCTGGCCCGAACTAGTCCAGTTGTGGAACAACTTGGACTTTGTGGTTATGCCTCAACACACACACACACACACACACACACACACACACACACACACGCATACACTGGAGAGAGTAATGTTTGTAATGGTTTTTGTTTTTGGTACTGAAGCATGTCGAAACGTAGAACTCTGCTCAAGGGGGTTCAAATTAGAAATCTATAACAATGCTCGTTCTGCCGCTCTGGCCCTGACGCGGGGGCCCCTTTCGTACGATTGTGACTTTTAATGAAGCATCATTGAGTTACTGAGGCTATAAATACTCAGCTTGTCGCTGCACTAAC